TGCCTGCATCGACTGAAATATTAATTTCTAAAAAAAATATCCTGCGAGCATGATTTACCGGATGAATGAGAACACGAACGTTGAAACAAAGTTGCTTCGTCAGCCACACGATGTTACTCGTCCGTGTCATTCAGTTTTTTCGCAAAAAACCAGCCTTGTTTCTGCATTTGCCTCTGCAAACGTTAAGATGCGTATGGGCCGAACGTCGGATACAACTCCAGAAAAATGTGCTGAAATCGAACTTTTGTCGACAAGCAAGACTGAGCAGGACATTCCCCAGAATCCCTACTTTCCCACTTTCCCAGCATTTCTTATATTTAAAAATAAAAGCCGAAAAGGAAAAACGGCTTGGAAAGGTGCCACACGAAGTGAACTCTCCGTTTGCGGCACCTGATTCACTCCATTTTTCCTAAGCATAATTTCTTCATGAAGCTCTTTCAGCAAACCAAGATTCACGCTAATCCGGTGAAACTGGAAATTGTTTGGGAGTGGAAATGCAAAAAGTCCCTGGAAAAAAAAGGTAACGAATAATAATAAAATAAAAAAAACAATTCCACATTTTACTCACTCCAGAAATAAAAAAAAAAAAAAACAGAGAAGAAACGTCCATGCTGGCGGCAGTCATTCAGTTCAAATGACGAGAAATTGAAAGGTTGAACACTGCTCAAATTCCTCCTCTATTCTAAAACCGGCTGTCGAGCGGTTAACATGGTCAAAAGGTAAAAGCAGGTCAGTTTTCGATCCAAATGTGACTGAACATTAAGTTCAGAAAGTTTTATTCAATGTTTCATATAAAGGAAGCCATACTTTTTAAGGCACAAATATCGGAGTGTTCATCAAATTTCCTTGGCATCCGACAAACGAATAAACAGAATAAATTTGCAAGTCCTTAATACCTCGAAAGAAAGTGCCAATATTAAATACTAGCGCCCTCGGCGCTCTACTATCCAGAACATTGATTAATTCATTTCATATTCGAAGTGGCAAAAACTTACTTAAAGTACGTCCCTGTCGAAATATATGCCATGAGGGACGTAACCAAGTTTCCATCGAAATAATTCCTTTGAGGATTTTTTGCGCGCCAAACTTTAGATCTCTTCATGATCACTTTTTTCTCAGAGCGGAAAATAAATCCTGAAATTCTCCGCTCCCGTGATTTGCCTTGAGGAAATATATTTCAAAAATTAAGATTTTTTATGCACTCGGCAATCGAACTTCTGAGCCAAGTTGAAACTTTCTATCGCTTTCTCATTTGTTGGATCGAAAAGGATCCAAGAAAATGCTCCCCTTACGAAATCTATTCCCTGAGCGGTTTTACCTAAAAAAAAAATATTTTCCCTTAAATCGGTATTCAGAGAACACCGTGCCCGCAAAGTTTCAGTCCCATGCCTTTGCCTTATTTTGCTGGGGCAGAAATACATTTGGAAAGAGGACCCACCCAAGGGCTGTGTAATGAGGCGATGCGCCACAAAATTTCAATTTTTCCTGGACTCGACATCGCGTCAGTCATGCGCGTGTCAAGTTTCACCTTTCCGTTTCTGCCGGATCTGCTATAGGAAAAAAAAAAAAAATTAATCGAAAACGAATTGGAAAGTTGACATTTTTCCCGAACTCAATGTGTCGGAAGTCGCGTTCGTGCCAAATTTAAGCTTTCCACGTCTCTCCGTTCGATTTGAGCAAAAAAAAATTATTTGAAAACATTACCTAAGAAAAATCTGTGCCTCCAGGGCATTTACCTCCAAAGTCACAATTTTTCTGGACATCCCAATAGGTACTTAGGTACGAAGTTTCATCTTTCCATCATATCTAGAACATAGTTGGAATTAGCGTCAGTCACTCACTCGGTCACGATCGTCTATATATATTAGATGGCGTCTTCAGAGTAATTTGGAATTTAGAGTAATTTCGGACTCTTGATATCACGAACGCCTTGGTCGACTAGATTTCAACGCGAACGGACAAATCCTTCGACGCAATTTGGCACGAGAGACCGGATAATCGGCAAAAGTTGATGTAGCTTCTCCTACGAGACGATCGAAGACGCGTCCTAAATGGCAATTCGGCACAAAATATTTTGGAAAGTGGAAGAACCGTGCCATTCTTAATGGCGAGAACACGAACGGGTCCCTCCGACGGTAGAAACTCCTTTGGATTTAAATATGGAAATGATATTTCACGCCTAAATCCCATTCGGTAAAATCCCACGATACTTCCGGAAATTGGTTTCTTGGAACGACCAGAATACCACGACTCCACTATTCGGGCAAAATGGACATCCGATGGGGAATGAAACGCGGGAGGAAGAGAAAGCAAAGTCATACTTGTCGCCAAAAAAAAAGTACGACGAATAAGGAGTAAATAAAATTCTCTATATAAAATTCGGTGCACGAGATCGCGCTAGCAAACCACGAAAACGATTAGAGTTTCAAGTTTGTGGGATGAACTTGCCAAACGATCCAATTTCAACAGCGGCTCACGGAGTCGTTCTAATCATCCGGAACGTTTTTACCAATGAAACGTGGCAGAGGAAACTATTAAAGGCGTGCAGAAAAACAGCGCCAAATTTTGAGGCCGTGAGATTTTTCCTCTTCTCCCCTCAACCCACACCGCCAGATCCATGAATGCAAATTGATTAATGATTATTAATTAATTTCTCACCTTAAAGTTGGATTTGAAACGATCCGCCCATAAGCCCGTTCACACTAGACACCTTCGTCGGAGTGACTTCGATCAACCTGTTAGCAACAGCAGTGACTCCCCCCCCCCCCCCCCCCCCCCCCCCCCCCCCCCTGGGAAAAAGACAGAAGGAAAAACTCATTGTGGTCGGAGAGGTCGAAGAGAGAGACTTTCGTGTCTCCGATACTAATGTCGGCCGGAATGTCGGTCGAAAATGCCCCCGCTAACGACGCGGTTCCCTCCTCGTCTCCGTCTCCGTCCCAGTCCGAAAGGGATGAGGAGGAATTCCCGCCGATGGGCTCCCTGTCGAGAGCCACGTAAATCAAAAGAGGCAAAAAAAAAGCGG